TTTGGAGACTCCCTGCTTCTAGGCAGCATCTCCTCCCTTCATTTCTCAAGGTTATTCCCACATAACCGTTACAGCAGTGCTGTTGAACTGCAGAGAAAGCTTTGTAAACAGTAGTTATTTTATTAAGTTTAGGAGTTGGTTTTATGAAGGCCGAGCCAGTGTGTTGGGAGTCCAGCTTTTGCTAAAACCCTTGCGAGGAAAAATTAAGATAGCAATATAGGAAACTTTCACATACTGAAGAGGTAGGCCGAAATTCTTGTGCTGAAAAACAGGCAACGGGAAGCATGCAGAGGGAGAGAAGCAAATAGGGAATTCCTTTTGAAGTGTGAGAATATGCCGATGTCTCTAGTCTCTCTAGGTAGGAAATAAATTATAGCTCCTTTAGAAAGCCAAGAACTTAAATGAAGGAAAGTGAGGCAAGCCTGTTGGGAAAGTTGGAGTCTCCAATGAGAAGCGGTGGTACTCTGTTTAACAGTGAAAATTCTGGGTTATACAGTATATCGTTTAGGTCCTTCTCTCCTCTTCTTGCTGGCAGTGGCAGAAGGTGTGGTTCCAGTCTCTGGGAACCACTCCAATTATCTCCTCGTGCCGAGGGACGTTTCAATTTTACAAGCTCTCTGGTGCCAGGAGACCAATGCTGCTGGGTCAGTCATAAAGCTCACATGACGGGGTGGAGTCAGGAGCTAAAGTGGGGAGAAGAGCGTAGTTAAGAGATTGGCTACCCTGGAATCCCCGAACGGGAGGAAGTGACAGAGAATCCTGTAAATCAGAGGTCTCCAAACTTGGCAACTTGAAGACTTGCTGGCTGGAGAATTCTGGGAGTTGAAGTCCACAAGTCTTCAAGTTTGCCAAGTTTGGGGGGCCCTGCCATAAACCCTGGAGTGCTTATCTAGTTCATCTTGTGAGATTCCTGTAAACAGACGAATGGCAATAAGCACACTGCCCGGATCAATTATCAATAATCTGGTTCCTTACCTCAGGGGTCACCCAACCCCCCCAAGTATGTGGCGTGCCAGAAACCAGTCCAGGCAAACATACCAAAAAGTCCCATCCGCAGGATGCAGGCAGCATGCGAAACCACGCCCCCCCCCCCCCCGCTCTGGTCCACGGAAAAACCTCTCCACGGAACCGGTCCCTGGTACCCCAAAAGTGCCATTGCTGCCTTACCTGACACAGGTCTCCTTTTCTTCTTAGGACCACCTGCTGCTGCCTGCCATCAGCCACAACAAGACCTCTCGCCCTAAAATGTCCCTGGTGATGCCGGCCATGGCTCTGAACGGTAAAAGAGACCGAACCTCTCGGGGAGAGGCTGGGCTGCGGACGCCTTCCTTCCAAAAAGTAAGGCTGCATTTCAGCGTCTCTTTTTTCTTTTCTTTTTTCTCCAGAGAGCCTCTACGGCTCCTCCCTGGGCTACGAAGTCATGATGCAGGTCGACTGCGAGGTCATGGACACCCGCGTTATCCACATCAAGAGCTCCACGGTGCCCCCTTTCCTGAGGCGCCAAGGCACCACCCCATCCGACAACCGCACCCAGCCGTCCCCGCCGGCCTTTTCTGGGAAAACCCCCCGCACGACGTTGCGGTCTCATCGCTCCACTCTGTCCACGGCACGGCGGCCTTCCCCTCGCACCCTCTACTTTGGGGAACACGGAGGGGGCTAGCGGGAAATCTGGAAAAGGCGGAGAAGACATTCCTGGAAGTGACATTCTTCCAACCAGGGACTTGGATGTCCCTCCCGCCCCCCGCTCCTCGGGGCCACCCCTGCCCGAAAGACGGATGGGTATACCGTACGCTGGTTGGGCAGATCTGGGGGCCTCTCCTCTCCTCTCTCCCACCCCTCAAGCCTCTTAAAAAGTTCCTTGGTCCACGCCCAACTGCCGCTTCCAAGAAGGCTTCATTGGAGTTTTCTCCCACAAGGAGGGGGTCGCGTGCTGAGCTGCTGCTGCTGCTGCTGTGGGGGCCTGGGCCCGAGCATTGCCCCAAAGAAACCTCTGGCTCATCTCCTTGGGGTGGGGGGAGGCCAAGAGAGAGCTGGGTGAAATATAAGGGAAGGACACAAGAGGTGTCCACAACTACTGTCTGCAAGCTGGGAAGCGTGAAGAGTGTAAAGAAGGATGAATGTTCTCCTTTCCCCAAACGAGGGAGAGACCAAAAGACGAGAGTGTGAGTGGGTTGAGTGTGTGTTGAAGTGTGTATGCTGTCCTCTTCAAAATTGCTCTGGTGGCACTTAGGCCTGCTGTCCTGGGTCCTTTTTTTGTGTGTGTTTGTATTTTCCCTAATTGTGGTTTGTTGTTTTTTTTTTAAATAAAGAATAGCTACAAACAAACTTCATACTTAACTCCTCATTTTTTGTTCTAATGTCAAAACAGAATAACCCACCAGCAAAACAACACAAACCAAAAAAGCAAAGTGCTGCGTTTGGTGTATTTGCAGGTGGGGTTTTGTTTTGTTGCTGTGAATCAGCCCTGCAATAATACACGTGCGATAAATATTTGTTGGAACAGCCAATAAATATATTCTGGATTAAGATTGAGCTCCGGTTTCAATATTCCTCCTGGGAAATCCTGCATCTTTTTACAATCAGCCTGACAGGTGCTTTAACACATTTCAAACCTTAAATATTCAGAAAACATTTTTCTGGTCAAAATCAGAAGCTATTTTAACTGTACCCGTTATTGAGAATATGTAGCTCCATTGATGTTTTTTTTCTCCTCAGTGTAAAGTTATAAGCAGGTTTTGGGATTTTACTGGTGAAATAGAAGATAGATGGTGGTAGAAGGAAAAGTGGAACAAACTGTCTAAAAATGTGGAGTGTTTGACAGGTTTTAGACAAAATTTCTTTGTCAATGAAATGGAGATGGAGAAAGAGATTGGAGGGATATCCTGTGCACTAATGAAGCTGGATACATATATACCGTATGCACAGACATGTACTGTATTTCACAATGCAGGTAGTCCTCGACTTTTAACAACCATTCATTTACTGACCAGACATGGAAAAAAGTGACTGCTCTTACAAGTGTAGTATCCCTGTGGTCATGTGATCAAAATTTGGGCACTTGGCGACTGGCATGTATTTTACAAAGGCTGTTGCAGTGTTGTGCGATTGCCAATTGCACTTCCCGATCAGCTTCCAACAAGGAAAGTCAGTGGAGGAAACTGGATTTTCTTAAAGGCTGCAGTGATTCACTTAACAAAAATCATAAAAGAGGGTGTGTCTCATTTAACAACCTGGCTTAATGGAAATTCTGATCCTAATTATGATTGTAAGTTGGAGACTTACCTGTATATACAAACTACCAGCCTTTAAATCATTTATTAGAAAAATGGGAAATCAACTGCATAACCCATGTAAAGAATTTGAATATTCTAGTTGGCAAAATGTTCAAATACAGCTAATCCTCAACTTGCAACATTTCGTTTAGTGAATGCCCCAAGTTACAACAGCACTGAAAAAAAGTGACTTATGGCCATTTTTCACACTCATGACCGTTGTAGCATTCCCCATGGTCATGTGATCAAAATTCTTCTGCTTGGCAACGGACTCATTTATGACCTTTGCAGTGTCATGGGGTCATGTGATTAGCTTTTGTGACCTAACAAGCCAAGTCAATGGGGA